TTTATTCCAGGGCAAGATAGGTTTCTCAAGACTAGCTACAGTGAGGATCTATTAAATCAATCACAATCACAACCTAGTCTACCTTCAAGTGACTTCCAATTAGGATGCAGTAACATTATTAAAGGGCTCAGACAGGCAAATTAAAGAGCTACACTGAGGAGGAATCGTTTCCCAGAGAGCTAATTTTCATCATCTTCTAAAATAAAAGCTTTCAGAAGTTCAGATTTCTGATTTAAAAAACAAAACAAAACCCACATTATCAAAATAAAAGACTTGCTAGCATTATGTCACTATTGAGCTTTTCCTTTTTGGAGACTTTTTTTTTTTTTCTTTCTTTCTACCTAACTGCCACCTAACCAAAAGGTTAAAATCATGAAGCAGTGCCTTCTTCACATCTGAATACCCATGCTTGATCTGAAGGCTTGATAAAGAAAAGGACATGATGACAGGAAAATATTAATTGCGGCTTTGTCAAACGGTTTGTATTTTTAGCAGGGGAACAAAGAGAGGAAGCCTACTTGATCATTCAAATAATCAGGAGCCACCCTGAAACAGAGTGATGAGCTTGGATTAAGGGAGCAGATTAGAAAGTGGAATTTTGCAAATCAATATCAAAAATATGAGAGCAAAGTGGACATGATCCATTTATCTGTTCACTGATCTGAGGAATAACCACCTCAATAAGTCCTGGAAGTCTTTGTCATACATTCAAAATGAACTAAACACAAAAGTAGTAGTTGTCCACGCCTGGAAGGGGAAGTTTTTACATTTTTCATATATATAGAATTGATTACTATATTAATTAAAATACTAAAATTAATAACTGTATATCAACATATTCTATATAATTTTATATTTACATATATGAATTAAAATTAGCTGCTCATCAACAGCAATATTTGCTCAGCCTGAACATTTAACTAAGAGCCTGAAAAAGTCACGTTCTTATATCACATAAAAGACCTCATCAGCTATGAGAGGCATGGTGGAAAATTCATCTCCAAGAAACTACAGGAAGAAACATCCATCATCTTCCTTGACGGAGGTCAGGTGAAGCCCTAGCATAAGTCAGGGATGGCACAGCTTTTCTTATTTTCCTCTGACAAACACTAATTTGTACAAATCATTTCTCAATCAAGACCACTACACTTTATACTCATGAAAAATAACACATTTTTCAATTTGGTGGAAGAGCCAGAAAAAAAAACAAACCTGAAGGAAAGACCCCAGTTTAAATCACTCCCAACCTGAAACACCATCACTCTCATCAAACCCTCCCCACACCTCACGTTGGCTTCAAGTTCAGCAAGTTCTTTAATTCCTCTCCATACCTACCAGCACTTTTTTTTTTTTTTTTTAATATGTGTAATTGCAATGTTCAACTCCTGAACAAAAGCCATTGAGAAACAATAGAGTTTTGCTTAGGAGTCTGAAATAAAATTCTTGAACTTTCCCAAGAGAAATTTCACTCAAACAGCTGACCACATTTGACTAACAAAGTCATCTGGCCAACCTGAAACTGCTTTCTACCCCTGCCAATTTGGGTTAGGTTTGGTTTTCCCCTTGTTTACCACCCCCCACACCATTTATTTTTTTTTTTTAATAAATAACTGGTCACACAAAAGTGCCACCCAGCCATATTTCAGTCCCCATCCCTGGAATGACAGCAACAGCTAGCTCAGGGCAAGCATATGATCAGTATATGTGTTTTTCCACATTGGGGGAAACCCTACTGTTGGGAATCTCATCCCAGTTCACATACCCACTGGTGAAACCTGTCAGATACAAGACATGTCAGAGTTGATACGTGTTTCTGACTTCACAGTTTCCATTTGAAGTGCACAGGAAGCTGAGCTGAGGAACCAGGCATGTTTTGAGCAGAAACTGCGGCAGGCATAGAGCCTGTTGCTCTTGCAACTAAACACATTCACACATGGCCATGGGAGCAATTGCCTCCTCCCCAGGCTCACCTGACCCCAGCCAGCCCATATATCTACAAGCAAAATACATTGATGGCCTGAAACTGGAAGGAGAAGAAACATTTCTTCCCACACAGTCTAGAACCTGCATCTGAAAGGAGGATGAGGCATGACTCTACCTGGCATCTTTAGCACCTTCCCCATGTCCTTTTTATTCTAACTTTTAAAATATTAGCTCTGTTGAGTAGCAGGGCTAGGTGGCAATCATTGGGAAGTTACAGGAAATATTAAAACTGAAACAGCAAGAAAACAGAATTCAAGAGGTCTAGGTCTACTTTCCAACTGCAGTCTTGGCTGCTGTGCGATCATGGAAAAAGCCGGCTCCCTCTCCTCCATACTTCAGCCTCCTCATCTCCCTAGTGGGGTAGGAATTATTCTCCACCTATTAGGGGTCTTCTTTTATAATACATACCCAGCTGAAGAAAAAAACAGCTGGACTGAAGTATTTTTCCACAGCAAAGAAATTTCATATTAAAAAATTATTTTTTCCAGTTGGATTTGGCAATTAACCAAACCTCTGCCTTGCTCCTCTGTGGAGACACAAAGAAGGCATATGCAAGGATAGTTGCTGTTGTTTGGAGGTTTTTTTTTTTAATGTTATGGGGTTTTTTTTAAGAGCACCTTAGTTGTCTTTGAGGCTGTACAGGAGCCCAGACACGAGGAAACACCTTGCTGTTCTGCTTCTGCAGCTCTGCATAAACCCAACTCTAAATGTAAACCAGAATGGAAACCGGCCTGCAGGTCTCATATGCTGGGCTGCAGGAAACACCTACACTAATGTCATACAACATTGTTGTCAGCAGAATGAACAACAATTGTAGCAGCTGCTAATTTCATGCCTCACTTTCTAATTTCACAGGCCAAACAGAGCATGGGTGCAGGACAGCCATAATTCCCCAGCACAGCAGCAGCCAGCTGATTCCACAGCTGCCCCAGCCAATGACTAAGGTAGCTGCTGATTTATCTCAGCAGAGAATTTGGCTCCATAATACAAGAGTGAAAAAAACCCATTGTGGACTAAATTAGCACTGGTTTATCTTCACTGACAGCAAAAGGCAACAAATTTGGCAACATGAAACAGATGAAGGAGGTATGAACGCTGAGGCAGACAGCACAGGCTCATGTACTTTGTCTGAAAGCTCTCAGGCTTACAACTTGAAAATGCATGCCAAGTTCTTTCTCTAGAAATACGTATCTTTAACGTAAAATATGTCTTAAAGCATAAAACTGTATCTGCAGGCACAAGGTCATAAGCGTTTTGTGTGTAGAAATGTTTTTGAGCATCATCATATATGGGATTACCATGCTTTCTGTGAATAGCAAGTCTGGAAATCACACCTTTTATGCCTTGCTCCAGGCACCACATGTGGTTTCTGCTGGAGGTGAGATATCATATGTGCACATCACAGCTCCAGCGTCTGGTAAACTGTGCTTCAGAATGAGGCCAACAGGTTGGTTGCTTCTCCTTCACATGTAGTCTGTAGATAGCTCTTCAGCAGCTGCCAGCTATGACAGCTGCTCTTTCCTGTAGCATTTTGCTTGGAGAACGGATGATGTTTATCCTGCAGTGCCTGGCATCCTGAAGCTGTGATCCTCAAACACAAGCAACAACCCTGCTGTAGTACAGTTGCATGCACACAACCCAAGACCATGGATGTTCTGCTAATTCTACAGAAATCAAAATTAACTCAGTGAAGACAACGTATCCTCCACTCATGTAAAACAAACCAGTGTAAGCCAGAATACTGTTCTGCAGATAAAATAATCCCTATATGAAGGGTGGATTTGTTTTCACCTCTCAAGTCCTGACACACTCATCTCAGCAAGCAATGTCTTTGAACCCCTTTATTATTTCTCCTTCCTGGAGGTCATCATTCTCTTCCTGGCCAGCCTCACACAGCAGCAGTTTGTCACTCCCAAGTGCTCCCAGTGGTTGTTTGCAGGGGTGCTGTGGAGCTGCAACTCCAGAAGGATGTGAAAGGGCGAAAGGAGTTTGCTCAAGCAGCCCTCATCACAGGGTCTTGAAAACATCTGTGGAGATGATGATGGGTGGTAGGGGGAGAGGAGCAGTGTTTCTGCAGCCAGGGAAATAGATTGGAGCACAAGGGACTGGTGCATATGATGACCCACTGCTGGGGCATTGTACTTTTGAAAGAGACACCCTTTCCCAAATCACTGCAAATCACCCAGTTTGCCAAGACAGACCCAAGAGCTGCTCTTCCCAGGGAGCAGCACCAGCCAATGAGGATTTATCCTCTATTTGTCACCTTCCTCAAGAAACCATGTAGGACAGCCAACATGCGTGGCCTCATCACACACAACTCTGCAGGTCCTAGCTCTGCCCTGGTGCCCTTCTCACTGCCAAATTCTTCTTGGAAGCATTTGCAGAGAAGCAGGAGGGTATAAAGCAGCTAAGGCTGAGGCAGGGCACAGACAACAGTGTTCAGAAGGATACGTGAGCAGAAGAGGCTGTGAACAGATTGGGTTAAAATTGCAACAGCGGCCTTGAGAACAAAGCAGTTGTGGTGAGGCAAAAACATGCGTCACAAGCATAGCTGAGAGTTGGGCACATCCCTTTTCATCTAACAGTCTGTTGCACACACGGCTCTGCTCAGTGGCACACAGCATTTGATACAGATCAGTTCCCCTGTACAGGGATTGATACAAGGTGAAATTTTGAGGATCACCGATTCTCCAAGACTGTGAGCTAGAGCCATGACTTGAAGGGGACTCACAAATGCCAAAGAGCCCCAAGGAGCTGGCTTTCACCTGATGAGCAAAGCATGCTGTGAGAAAGATTACTGCTTTGTATAGGCTTCTGCTTGCTGTTCCTCACTGGTGCACTTGAGTGGCTCAGATATACACAGAGATCCTCTTTCCAAAATGCTTCAAAGAGAAATGATGACCAGCTAAGATCTACTCACACCCTCTAAGATAGTATAAGGGGCAAACCAAAGAATATGTCAGACACTCACAACATGGCAGTGAACTCAGCTCCTCCTCATAGAGTGATGGGATGTGGGTCACTTGGGCTCTCTTGGCTCCTTCGGGGTGTCCTGTGCACCGAGAAGGGACAGGGAGAGAGCCAGGTGAGCCCCAAGCCTCCTCTTCACAGCTGGGGAGCTTTGTTCCCCATACAGCTGCACCTGCAGCATCCCCCCAACTTAACCCCAGCAGCTTGCCCACCCACAACTCCTTCAGTGCCCAGGAGCTGCAGAAAGAGAGGAGAACCCGCATCAGGCCCCGCTGCCGCCCAGCCTGTCGTCACAGGCAGGCGCCTGCACAGCCTTGCCCCTTGGGAAAGGCAGAGGGGCAGCACAAGCCCAGCAGGGCAGGACAGGCCTGCTGCCCAAGCCCTGGCTCCCTCTGCGCTGCCAGAGCAGCTGCCCCTGCCCTTCCCTTGTGGAGAGACCAAAAGGTGACCAGGGGATGCAGGATGTGGGAACGCACCCCCCCATCCCTCCCTGCCGGCGCGCTGCCCGCTCCCTGCCCAGGCTCTGCACGGAGGGCAGAGGCCGTTCACAGGGTGGCGTGGGCACGGTTGGGAACCTCTCCTTCCCGGCCACGCGACGTGGCCCCACAACTCACCCGAAAGTGGCAACGCAGGTGCCGGTGGGCCAGATGAGGAGGATGGAGGCCCTGTCCTCCTCGCTGCCTTCCTCCTCCTCTTCCCCTTTGAGCTCCCCCGCTGCCTGCTTCCCGCTGCTCAGCACCCACAGCTGGTCCAGGGCCAGGCGGAGCTGTGGGCGCAGGGTGGTGCCACGTCTGCCGAGAAGAGAGACAGTCAGTGAGCCTGAGGTGGCCGCCTTGGGGTGCCCCCGGGCAGAGCCCGGCCCCCCACCTGCCCTTGGGACGGACGATGGTGCATCCAGCACCAAGGCCCCAGGGCCCAGGGCTGGTGCCAGAGTGTCCCTGGCCTGGGGCCGGGGCCAGGGATGGGGAAAAGGCAGCTGGGCTCCGAGGCTCTTACTGCAACTTGGCCACCACCAGTTCCTCTTGGAGGAGGAGAAGGCGCCTCTCGCTCCTCTTGCGGCCCCGGGTCAGCCGCACGTCCGTGCTCAGCACCGCCTCGGCGTCGGTGAGAGCCTCCCTGCGGAGCAGAGAGCGGCGGGCATGAGAATGGCCGGGTCTGCGGGGCGCGGCCGTGCCCGAGCCGCGGCCGGAGCTCACCTGGAGCGCCAGCAGCAGTTGGCCTGACCCATCCTGCCCGGGACAGGAGGACCCTCGCTCTGCACCAAGGCTGTGGCCCAGCCGGCCACAGCGAGGATGGGAAGTGGGGTGCCAGGGAGCGCCGCTCGGCCTGGCCCTGCCTCCTCCCGGCACCGCTCCGTGCCAGCACAGCCCCGTGCTGCCGGCTCCGGTGGCTGTTGGCTCCAACTGACCAACAGACAGACCCCAGTGGTAACTGGGAAGGGCCCTGAGCTGAGGGTTCCATCCAGCATGGCCCTGGCTGTCTTGCCCTGGGGAGCCCAGCACAGGTCAGTGCAGAGGGAAGGACCCCCCCTCCACTTGCAGGCAATGTCTCTTGCCTTGGGGCTCACCAGTGGTTCCTGACCTCCAACTAGACTTGGTGACATTGCTCACTGCCCTCTGAGCCCAGCTGTCCAGGCACTTTTCCTTCCACAGCACTGCTCATCAACCCAGGGGGTGTTTGCTTCCTTCCAGTCCTCAGGCACCCCTCCCTTTTGGAGTGGCCTCACAAGCCCATCTGCCACCCACCCCAGCACGCAAGGGTACACCCCAGCGGGACCCACCATGGAATTGTGCATCTCCACTTTGCTTAAGTATTGACTAACCTCATCCTCTTCCACCTGACCCTACCAGATTCTCTTACACTAAGGGTACCTCTTCTTTGCTCCACCTCAAGGCTGCTCTTGCTAGCACCATCATGTCCCAAGAGGATTGGCAGAATCTAGACCAGCCTCAAGTGCTGCCAAAAATTAGTAAAGGCCAGGAAAGTTTTGAGGTGGAGCAACATGTGACCATATGATGAACTTAATCATTACATTTCTTCATAGGAGCTTGTATGGGGCTATGATTTGCATCTGTTTGGAAATAGCCTTGATGCACTAGTTCTTACTGAGCAGTGCTTGCAGAGCACCAAGGGCTTTTCTACCTCTCCGGCTGCCCCACCAGGGAGCAGGCTGGGGATGCACAAGAGGTTGAGAGGGGACACAGTAGGAACATCTGACCCCAACTGACCAAAGGGATATCCCACACCATACATGCAGTCCTCAGCAATGAAACTGGGGGGTGGAGGTTGGCAGGGGCTGCCCTTGCTGAGGCATCAGTCAGCTGGTGGTCAGCAATTGCTTTCTTTTGCATCACTTGCTTTTCTTGAGCTTTATTTTCCTCCCTCTTTCTTGTTTGTTGGCAGTTTTTTCTCACACTTTTTTTTTTACTTATAAAATTGTCTTTACCTGAACCCACAAGTTTTCTCCATTTTCCCCTTCTGATTGTCCCACTGTGGCCCACTGCAGAGGGGCAAGCAAGCAGCTCTGTGCCACTGAGCTGCCAGGCTAGGGCTAAACCACAACTTGTGAGCAAAACAGCTACCTAATGACAGGGAGAGTGCACATCCCTCCTACTCTGTCAGGGTGTGAGCGTCCCCTGGATGACACCAGGGTGCACAAAAGCCTCCACAGTCCTGCTGCTGTTGGAGCCACTTCAGAAGCTTTTTGGGTGAGCTGACGCATTTATACCACCCAGTCTGGAAGTTAATCTCTACCACTGCCATGAGTTAGGGGGGAACCTCCTTAGCAGTAACACACAGAGACATCCTTCCTTGTCTCAAAATATGCCTTTAGGACAATATAAGCACACATTTTAAGGCAATGACATGAACCCAGAATGGTGTATTTAATTTGCCTCTGCCACCAAAGCCCTGCAAGACTCAAAGGAAAGAGCACCCCTTTCTTTTCTCTGGTTGATAGGACTCTCTAGGAAAAGTGTTGCCTGCTGCAGGCTGCCCAGGCATAGGGCCCCAGCAGTCCCTCAGTGACTGCACACACTATTGGGGGGGAATAATTGGGAAAAAGAGCCTCAGAGCATAGATGTTTTGCTTGAGCCATCACTATTAATGCCCTTTAAAAAGGGGTGTGGGGCAGAGGGGTGCCATAGCAGCAGAGGAAATCTGCATCTGGGATTTGTTTCTTCTAGCTGCTGTTCAAGTCAGGAAGAGGACAGTGAGTCCAGTTTTGCTGCAGCCCTGAAATGCTCTGCAGTTTGCCCAGCCCGCGGACAGGGATCTGCATGACTAGATTTGATTAGGTGCTCTTGGCGCTGGCCTTGGCTGCTGGTCTGAGCTCCCCTATCATAAGCAGCAGTAAATGAAACAGGAATTATGCAACACGAGTGCCGAGTGATGGAGTAGCAGCTGGAATGGAAACAACTGCCCCTCAAACCAGTAATCTGCAGACATGCTATATCATTTACTATCATTTCACTGTAACCTTTCTCCATGAGGAGAAATGATATTGTGGACCAGGGGATTCTATGTGTGGTGTACAGCTAAAGGCTCCTGCAAGGAGTTGACTGCTGGCTACAAGATGTTTTCACAGCCAAGCCCTATGAAATAAGAGGCTCCCCTTCCAGTTCAAAGTCACCGCTGGATGCAAATAATTCAGTTTCTTCTAAGTCGCTGTGGATTTTTTCAGACTGAGAGCAGAAAAAAAAAAAATTTGAATCCTTTCTGTCTTTCTTTTCATCGGTAATAAATACCCACTTGAATTCACATCAAGTCTCACAAAGCAGCAGGCAGCCACAGTGCCTGTTGCTAGTGCAAAACTTACTTGTTTCTCCCATCTCCACACACCTTTTGGTCTGATTTTCCATACCCCCCAACTTTCTCTCCAAATTTCTGGAGGGGGTCAGGGAAGGCGAACACACTTCCCCAAGGAACTTCCCCATACACTGCCTCAGCGAACAAACTGCCCAGGAAAACATTAAACTGAGAAGCTTGGTATCTGCATTGCAGAAGATAAACACCTTGGCATAGCAGGTCAAGCAATATCCAAGGACAAATCTCTGCTTCAAGGGAGGCAAACTCAGAGCTGGACCAAGGGGAGTATAAGCAGAAGAAAAATCCCCCAAAACAACACAAAGGCACTGGAATCAGGAATAAAGATGCTAACTGTAGCATGAAAACTAAGAATTAGGACAATGCAAAAGAAACCTGAACCACAAATACAGGCAAATACGCTCATACTACAGAGAGATACCATTGTTTGGGCTGGCTGCTGCCTCCCAAAAGTTTTCCACAAGTGTTATGGAGGGACTTTAACCAACCAGTACATGTGCAGAGGGCAAAACTGCCAGTGTTCAACACAAGCCTATACAACCGCGATGAGTTTTTACTCACCTGAACAGAAACACCCTACCACACTTTCAACTTTTTGCTAAGCAAGATGGCACTTCCTAACTTGCTCTTTGAGGTATTTTCAAGAGCCTTCTGGTAGATGCTGTAGGGGTTTTTTGCCCCATAGTGTCCTGACCCATTCACCCCACACCACAGAGGGACTCACACAGGGAACTCGCTCAGTACGTGACTGACTCAGCCCTGAAGCACCATTTCACAGTTGAATCAAGACCAAAATCATAATGCACATCCCGAAAGAAACATTTCTAACCACCCTCACTGTACAGAGTGCTCCAGAGCTGGGCTCTAGCCATGACAATTATGGGTTTGAGCCTTAAATTCTATAGCCACTAACAGCACCACTTCAGTAAGCCTGAAGCTTTTGTCACCTCTGAGCCACTCGACACCCAAGTCATCCATTTTACCAAAAACACAGAGTATGGACAAGTGTAACCACAAATGGATAGCTTTCAGAATAGGAGACAAAGGCAGTGACTTAGAGACAAACCTTGTAGGGAAGAAAAAAAGCAGGTACAGCAACAGAACTGAAGATGTTTCCTCCCAGGTTTATACTGTGATCTCAAATACACAGAATCATTAGGTTGGAAAAGACCCTGAAGATCATCTTGTCCAACCATTACCCTAACACTGACCATTCTCAGCTACACCATATCCCTAAGCGCTATGTCAACCTGAAAAGTTGATGACTACAGCCTTGCTGCGAAACAGTTCAATTCCAGCTCAAATATATGAAGTAATAGAAAACACTCATTCAGCATGTATCATTGGCACTTAATACAGTTAACTAGTAACAATAAAGTTATTAAATGCATTAAGTTTTACTGGATGTGCATGTTCCTCAGAAATACAGCTAAATGGGGAGAGGAAGAGAGAGTAATTATGACCTGGTCTTCACAGTCCCACACACTCATTTATTATTTCCATTGTGGTTTGGGTTTGCTCCCTAGCATACTCTGTGTGAAGCAGCGTGACAGAAATGACTTATCAGCAAATGAGATCTTCTTGCTCTTTTATGAATGATCCCTCTCCTTCCTCTTAACCTCTTTGCACCGGGGGGAGCCCAGGTTGCTACATACACCGCCTGCTGTGGTTTGTCAGTGGCTGCTGTCAGCCTTTTTTAATGACATATTTTTCCATCCAGAGCTATCACCCTCATGTAATTTCTAGTAGTGCATTAGAGTCTCATTACGCACCGAGGCACTAACTGAAATGCGAAGGACAGAGACCCAGCATTAACTTGGTAGCAGAGGACAGATCCATCATGCAGGCCTTTCCCCGTATGGCTGGTTTTAAGTTGTGAGGAAGCTCCTGGTTGTGATTTAAGGTCAGGCTATGCTTACAGCTGTTCTTCACTGTATCGGGAAGGACAACCTGAGGCTGGGGGTTTATGGGCAGCTAATGATCTGCAAAGGAGGAACGGACTGCTGACAGGTACCCAGGACAATCACAGCACTGATGCCAGGGCCCAATGG